TCCTAATTCTATATACAAAAGAGAAGGCACTGAGTATACTGCTATGATTTTAGATCATAAATATATAGAGAAATGACTTTTTTTAAAAAAAAAAGTTCAAAGCATTTCTTCATGTAGTATGAATTGAGGCGAACTATGAGCCTCAGCTGCTATTCCTTGTACAAACACTATCGATTCCTCCATATAGCAATTTTCCTTTAAAAAATAACTTTCTGAATAAAACTAGATACATTTCTCCCAGGCATGCAACGTGACCTCCATCTAAAGACGAGCTTGGCTTTTTTTGTTGGAAAGCAGATTTGCCTCCGAGGAAACCTTGCAATTAATACCTATTTGAAATACGGCACATTGGGTTCGAACTCTGCTTCAGCCTCAACTCTGCAAAAAAAAAGCCTCTGAGGCACGCTGTTTTGTTTACTCATTTTTATATCCTCAATAAACCTTTGATGCAATTTACTACTGTTTTCATGGTGGCTATTAGCAGTAATAATTAAAGGACTACTGGCTATGGAATTCTGCAGTTTGAAAATTGGCCTTATTTATGCTTTGTTTACGATTCCTCCCTAGCACTAAACAGCCTGGAGCACCAAAAAGCAAATTTTAACAAAGGGAGAAAGACAATGAGACTGTGTTTGTATACGAGCTTCAATAGCCCTTTGCATTGGATTTTCTGAACGCCGCAGCAGCTTCTGTGAAAACTCCCCGTTTGTTACAAGACCTCCAAAAGCTCTCAGGATAAAAGAAATCTGACCACACTAGAACACACCTACACAACTGGTGACACACTCCCCCCCCAAGCCAAGCACAGCTTGACAATGTCCTCAGTCACTTCTACTTGTGACTCTTGCTAGTGGCCCCCAGAAGCGAATGTGGCCCTCAGGCAAAAAAGGGTTCCTCTCTCCCACGATACAACCCACTACTTGAGCAGTGGCTGTCCTGTTGTAGGTACCGTCACACATGCGCCAAAGAAATTGGCAATAGCCAGCCTGAATAAAATTTATAAGAAATTGAGCACCGTCAAGAATAATTATTTTATTTTATTTTATTTGTACCCCCACCATCTAACTGGGTTACCCCAACCACTCTGGACAGCTTCCAACAAATATAAAAACATAATAAAACATTAAAGCTTAAAAAGCTTCCCTATACAGCGCTGCCTTCAGATGTTTTCTAAAGGTTATATAGTTACTCATCTCCTTGACATCTGGTGGGAGGGCGTTCCAGAGGGTGGGTGCCACCACCGAGAAGGCCCTCTGCCTGGTTCCCTGTAACTTCGCTTCTCGCAGCGAAGGAACCGCCAGAAGACCCTCGGTGTCCGGGCTGAATGACTTGGGTGGAGATGCTCCTTCAGGTATACAGGGCTGAGGCTGTTTAGGGCTTTAAAGGTCAGCAGCAACACTTTGAATTGTGCTCGGAAAGGTACCTTAAAAAGTAAGAGAGGCAGCTCTCTCCCCACAGGAAGCTTACAATCTAAAATTTGACGCAAGAGAATAAGGGAGGGGAAGCAATGTGATGGCTTCAGCAGCGCATACACACAACTCAACAAGAAAAACATTGCACGCTGGACTGCTATGTACCGTATTTTTCGCTCTATAAGACACACCAGACCATAAGAAGCACCAAGTTTTTGGAGGAGGAAAACAAGAAAAAAAATATTCTGAATCTCAGAAGCCAGAACAACAAGAGGGATCGCTGCGCAGCGAAAGCAGTGATCCCTCTTGCTGTTCTGGCTTCTGGGATAGCTGCGCAGCCTGCATTTGCTCCATAAGACGCACACACATTTCACCTTACTTTTTAGGAGGGAAAGAGTCTTATAGAGCAAAAAATACGGTATGTCTCTAACACACTGCATGGTACTGCAAACCTAGCAAGAGTTGTCAGGCACCAGGTGGGGTGCCTTGGCTCTTGTTTATCCTGGTTGATCACAGGTTGTGCAGGCCTAAAACTACAAAGGAAGGTGTTAAGTACCATCAGATATTCCCACCATCATCTGCATGCAAGATCTCCCACTGCTGACCTTGGATTCCTCCCTAAATCCACATCAAACCTTTTCCCACTTGCTTGTCTCCTCGCACATCCTCACCCAGGGGGGAACTGCAAAGCAAAAAGCAAGAACAAGAATAATCTGTTGTCATTAATGAATTGACTCAGTCATGCTGTTAACAGCCCCATTTAATTGTACAACAGTATTTCCTTGGCAGTTCCTCCCACTCTAATGCAATGACAATCCTCCGCAGCGTCCCCAAAGAATCACGCGGGCTCAGTTTACACCCGTGTCGCTATACTCTTCCCCTGGAGCCCGTCTCCAAAATACTATCCACTTGCCTCGCTGTGATTAAGCATACAGTCAAGATTAGCCTAGTCAATATCCATCACAGCTTTCATGCACAGCCACAGACATGAGTTCAAATAAAGAAATAACATGATGCCAAGATGCTAACTAACAATACTCTCATTACTGGCAAAGCTGCCATTAATCACAAGCTGATGGGTCAGAGCTGGGCTTTCCAGCTCCCCCTCCCTTCTTTGTGGCACAGAAAAGATGCACAGTTTAGCTAGAAAGCTAGAGAGAAAACCTCACCTAGTATTTCCTAGTCCAATACGTTAAGGCTCTTTCCAGCAAGGCAAACAACACCCCCCAAAAGTATTGCTGCGCCTGAACCAAGCGGCACACGGATCATACAGAAAACCTGGGACTGGTAGCAAAAAACAGAAAATACAGCAGTTTTATAGCACTTTTAAGTGCTCACCATGCAGGTAAAGGTAAAGGGACCCCTGACCATTAGGTCCAGTCGTGACAGACTCTGGGGTTGCGGCGCTCATCTCGCTTTATTGGCCGAGGGAGCCGGCATACAGCTTCCGGGTCATGTGGCCAGCATGACTAAGCCACTTCTGGCGAACCAGAGCAACACACGGAAATGCCGTTTACCTTCCCGCCAGAGCGGTACCTATTTATCTACTTGCACTTTGACGTGCTTTCAAACTGCTAGGTTGGCAGGAGCAGGGACTGAGCAATGGGAGCTCACCCCTTCACGGGGATTCGAACCGCCAACTTTCTGATCGGCAAGTCCTAGACTCTGTGGTTTAACCCACCTGCGTCCCCATGTCAGGTAAGCAATAATAACATTTCCCATATTGTGGATGAGGTGGGGTTCAGAGGGCAAGGTGAAGAGGGGAAGCTGCTCAGGTGCAAAATTAAAGGAAAATCCAAAAACAAAATGTGGTCTTTGGCACTCGTGCCATTCAGATTTCCTGGCTGTTTCGAGTGCATTGTTAAACATTTGTCTGAGTAAGATATAGCTAGTTAACTAGGGGTTCAGATGGGGCACATCAACCGAGGAAGGTAGCACACAGAAGGAAAACCCTGGTCCTAATCTTTCACTGCCTTGTGGGATATCTTCAAGAGCCTGTCAGACAGAGATCTCCACATGGTCGCAACTGGACCCGTCAGTCGCAAAACACGTCTGGGGGATTTCTCGCATTGCCACATGCCCATTCTTCGCTGAGGGTTCTCATCTAGGCATTAGGCCCCTTGGTACCAATGAGACATGCTTTGTTTACAATCCTAGATCCTGCTAAAATGCAGACCTCAAAAGTCCTGAAGATTAGGCCATGCGGTTTGACGGGAATTAAGAGTCCAAGAGCACATCTATGGTTAGCCATCTCCCGCCCTGGGTGAATTAGAACTAGGTATTTCAGCTACACCATTTAAGGTTCTGAAACACCTCAGGATACTTAAACAGCCAAATCAACATCCCAGGATCTTGCGCCACTTCCTTCCACTGCATCCCTTTTCTCTGTTCCATTCCCTTCTGCATTCTGCCAACCTGTCACAGTGCGGACATGAAATGCTACATTCCAGATGATACTCGCCTACATAACAAAATGTTGTTGGAGCGCAACCAGGAGCTCCGGTTCCCTCGCGGTGGCTGCGGTTAACTGATACCTGAATAGTCATTTTATCCTCTGACATCAAAGCAAATGCCCAAATTCTGGCAGCTTCCCAAGAACACAACGCAGGAAATCAATGCGCAAAAGAAGCCACTCTCTTCTCTTCTTCCCTTTCCAAAGTAACAGCTCTGTCCAATGCCTAGGTTCAGAAAGAAGCTGAAACAGAAGTTCTGAGAACCTTAAGGAGACCAAGCTTGAAAGAATAAGAACGGCACAGAGGTTCGCCATGATACGCTATTGAATTCTGAGAGGAAGGGGCCACTTTATTTAAGACAACCAAAACAAGAAACCGGAAGGGTTATGTTGTTTCACACAAATAATAGCATACAGTTAGAGAATCATAGAATTGTAAAGCTGGAATGGACACACAACATCTAGTCCAACCCCCTTGTAATGCGGGAATCTAACCTAAAGCATCCATGGCAGATTACCATCCAACTTCTGCTTTAAAATCTCGAAGGAAGGAAACTCCAAGACCTCCCAAGGGAGTCCGTTGCACTGCCATTAGGTAAAAATGTTTAGTTGGCTAAATGGCATTCAGCAGGACATTTTTTAAAAACAGGTAATTTTTTAATATAAACACGACAAGCACCATATTGGAAAAAGGTGATCACCCATAGCTCTCACACAGATGGAAATAACTCCAGTATGATATCTACTGCAATATATACACAGTCCTTTTTAAAGGGGGGGTGGAGTGGGGAAAAAATCCAACCTAGGCACATCTATGCAAATCTAATTGATTATATCTCATTATCAATATGGTGTCTTTAACTGGGTGGCATGAAAACCTTCCTGGATCTGCGCACACCTTTGCAACAGTCAAAGATCTTGGACCCTGGCCAATGTTAATAACCATCTCATTATTTTAAAGGTTCTTCAGTTCCACAGTGCAGCACAGCAATTTGTAATCATTTTGTTATACAACAGTGAACCGTACATGAGAATATTCCTTACGAAGGCGCATGGAAATGGTCCCCCCGCCAAAACTATAGGGAAAACTGCACTGAATAGTTGCCAAATGGGAGACCAACAGAGATCCACAATTGTGAAGGATAGCACAGTTGGGTAGAGCATAAGACTCTTAATCTCAGAGACATGGGTTCGAATTCCGTGCTGGGCAAAAATATTTTTGCTTTGCAGGGGGTTGGACTAGATGACTCTTGTGGTCCCCTTCCAGCTCTATGATTCTGAGATAGATAGATAGATAGATATATATATATATATATATATATATATATATATATATATATATATATCACAACTGTAAGATTCCTGGAAGAGCAGCAAGGTATATCATTAAAATAAATTATATGTGGAGCAATCAATTGGCCAGTTCCTGATCAGTCATATGTCCAATCCATGACAAAAATAAATCGATTAGGCTGTTAGAGCATTCTTTCCTTTTTAACTGTTAAAAGAAGACAAACTCCACAAAAATCATTTGGCTAATACTAATTTTAATAGGTACCTGAAAGACTGCAACAAACTACAATATTTGTTCAAGAGCAGAGGGGGAATGCAATCAGCGTTTGGACGACCAATATATTATTATTTCCATTAACATATAAATCAGAAAAACTAATGGATCTTGGCAACCTACAAATAAAGCAACATCAGCAAGTTAATGACAGAGGTCAGAGAGAATTGATCGTATTTGTGATGTAACAGCTAACTGGATTTTTTTAAAAAAAATACTGTAGCATGCTGTGCTAAAGTTATAAAAGAATGTTGTTGTTTTTTAAAAAAAACATCCCTTCACTTCTGCTGCAACAAGAGGCAGGTATTTGTTAATTTTCTGACACACATTTCTTCCCCCATCACCAGCCCAACAAAGACTTGCATTGTTCTCCACACCTGAGCATTCTGGCCGGGTGGATTTTGTAAGGGAAGCTTTAGATTACAGCTTTAAACATCTGACACCGGAGTAGGGTCAGATGTTTAAAGAAGAGTAAGTTTTTTAAAGGAGTGGTGGGTAATTAAGGAAAATGCAAGATTTTAATAGCACACGTAGCAGTTACTAACTAACAGGACCTTGCAGATAAACAGTACAGGCGTTTGGCAGATAGCGAAAACCTAGCAGGAAACACATGGTTATGTGCTGCTAAAGATAAAGGAAAGTAAGCCTTGTGCTTTAACAAAATCCCAACTGTAAATCCGTGCAGAATACAACGCCACAAGTTTATACCGAGGGCAAATGCAAAGTGAAATTCGAACAGAATTTGTAAGCCGTGCTGCTCGCAAGAACTAAGCCTGCTCCCATAAATGTGTGTGCCCCAAAATGGATATACTGATTGACACCCGCATATTTTTACAGAGTCTAGATGAAGTTTTGCAAGCACCCTTATTATCCATGCAAAAAGTATCTCTTGTATCATTTTTATTTATTTATGTTGCAATGTTTATATATGCAGCCCTTGATTGCAATGAAACCTCTAAGCGGTTTACATCCCATGTTTAAGTAGAAAGTCGAGTTGCCTTTAAGGGGCAAGATGACTCTAAGGTCCTATTTTTCACATGATGGACTGACTGTGATTGATTCTCCGTTAAACGTCTGGCTAGTTCATATCACAACCTTGAGCTAGGCTGAGAACTTTGAGAACTTAAAGAAGGAAAGTCCCTTGATCCAGGGACAATCCACATATATATTGGCCTATCCCGACCTCTCTTTCTTAATGGTGACTGCTCCTGCTCAGCTTGCACAGAAAAAGCATTTTGGTTCTGATTGTGACGATAAAATATCGCTGATGGAATTTTACAGGATGCGGTATTTGCATGTGAGAAGATGTCAGGCTCCATCCTGGCGCTCAGGCATCTTCACTAGGTCGCAAGTGGTTGATAGCCAGGTGCAAAATGCGCCTGGCTAATTTCAAACACTAGGCCTACTATGAGAATTAAATCGCTTTTTTTCAGTGTCAACTATTTAAATACCCAGCACGTATTTATTTTCTCCCTCTCTCTCTCTCTCTCTCTCTCTCTCTCTCTCTCTCTCACACACACACACACACACAGAGAGAGAGAGAATCAATCTTTTTTAAAAAAACGTTTTTAATTCAAAATTAAAACAAAACATATTATCCAGACACATATCATCCTTATTCCCCACCCCCATTTTTCCTCCCTCTTTCATTTCTCTATAAATGCTGTTTTCTGCATGTTACACAGTTGTATAGATCCTCAAACTATTTAGATGATTACTATCAATAAAAAGTTTGTGAATGTTTATTCAAAGCCACACAATCAATCAATATAATCAAAATATTGGCAAAACGCATCTTCGTTACTGATTTTCTAGTGCTTCAGGAAGGCGTTTCTTAGAAGAAAATGGGAGGAAGCCTGAAGAGCTGGAGCCTTTCATTGCACGGGAGGAATAAAAAATGCACACACTCCATAACAGAAAATTATGTTTTACCAATCTTGCTTTGACGAGGATTGTGTTAGCAGAAAACAAATGCCAGATGCCTGTTTGTTTTATTCACTGGAAGAGCAGAGGGGTGAAGTAAAAGAGAGAGAGAGAGAAATCTCTGGAAGCTTCCTGTTTCAAGCAGTACTGCTTTTAATTAAATGCTATACGTGACGAGTGCATAAAAATGAGCACTGTTTGAAAGCAGCAGGTAGGAAGTAAATTTATCCAACTGTAACTGCGGACTATTCCCTCTCCTCTAATGCTGTTCTGCAAGCCTATTACTGCTGTGCTCTTGGACGAGTTCGTTTACAGGGTTTATGTTTATTTGGGGGTCATTTCGCAGGGAAAACAAGAATTCTGCCAGTCTCTTCAGAAGTCAAGCTGGGGTTGGAAAGCGAAGACAGTCTCATTGCAGCAGCAGCAGCAGCAACAACAACAACAGCATCATCTCACTGATGCTCAGGTCAAAAGACAAGCCCGACCTGGAAGCTCTTATAAAAGGTCAGTTAAGAGCACATGATCTGCTTCAGCTTATGTTTGGCTGGCTGGTCTCTACAAGTCCTAGGTCCAGAACCCACCAGGGTCTGAAGTTCTGTTATCTAGAACAGTAGTTCCCAATTGTTGGTCCGCCGACCTCAGGGGGTCCAAGTAACCCACCCAGGAGGTCCACAGCACAAACTCATCAAATGTCTGGGACATCTCATTTTGGGGCGCGGTATTCTCAAAGTGCCTCAAAACACGTGAGATTGCGGCCGGACACATGTCACGCACAAGATCACGACATCCAAAAGCACACATTTCTGGGTGCCGTGATTCCATGTGGGCTACGGGACTCACCTGGGAGTGCAGCTTGGAAGACGCGCATCCCAGTTTTTGTGCTGGGACATGTGGGAGGGTATGGTGGCACCATTTGCACATCAAAAACTGCATATTCCTCCTGCTCTCAGCAGCCAAATGCATCCTAGCCAGACCCTGGAGAGAACTGACAGGGATAAACATGGACCAATGGTACCAAACAGTATGGGAAACGGCCTTACAAGAAAAACTTGCCATGAAACTGACAGGGGGACAAATAGAAGAAGATGCCTTCACCCCAGTATGGTTCCCCTTCATCACATACACAGCCCAACAAGAATCTGCCGAGAGCATACGAATCAATATGGCTAACCTGACTCAAAAATCCACCGCTCACACACACAAACAAATCTCACTGCAGCCGACCAACTACACCCTAGGCCACCTCCAACGTCTCTCACCACCATGGAAATGCAACAAACGAATAGTAAGAGAAGCCACACAAGTGACGCCAACACAAAACCCCACACGTACACTAAGTAGAAGAACAGAAACATTGCCACCCGACCCCCCTCCAACCTTCTTCCCAACACTAACATCTCACAGCAAATGAAACTGATCTGTAGAATACACAACTTGGAAAAAGAGACAATGCACGTATTTTTGTAAATTAAGAAATCTTTAATAAAAAGTATTTTTTTAAAAAACAACAACAGCAGCAGCATATTCCTGCATTGCATGGGATTGGACCAGATGACCATTGGGATCCCTTCCAGCTCCCCAATTCTATGATTCTATGAACTGCCATAGAGATATCAGCGTTTTTAAAAGTAGGGGGTCCATGGCTTGGCTTTAGAAAAAATGAGGTTCGCAGTAGTTGGCTAACTCTAGAAGATCAGGTGGGGAAATGTTCACAGACAGGAAAGCAATGCGACCAGAATCCAAACTGCACACAATGATCAGTGCAGCACATTAAGCAAGCCGTGACTTTCCTTAAAGATCAAAGAAAAGGAACAACAAAGCCTGCTAATGTCACTACCTTAGAGGGAGAAAGAACCAAGGCACATTTTGTTTTAAGGATTCCTTGGTCTGGAAGAGGATGCAGACCAAGTTTATTGGCCTGACTATTGTCTGGCACATCTTATTCTTACGCAAGTAAAATCAACCTCATCTTCCGTCCGCTTTTTTTTTTAATGGCCCAGGAAGAAAACAAAGACATGTGTAAGGACAATAAAAGACTGCCACAGCCCTCTTTCCTATATCCTCAGCTGCAGGGGCCAACATGCACTGCCCACAGCTCAGTTCCATGGCCAGAAGTTCTCATTAGGACCGTCTCTCAGAATTCCCCTACTGACGCTTAATAAGAAAATGTTTTCAGCCCTGATGGTTGTGGGCATGTGTCTGAAAATGCCACAGCCACAACTGCTAACTCTGCCATCCAGTTGTCATACTAACAAAGGGCCATGCAGACTTCTGAGTGGTGAACCACCAGGAAGGGTGTGTGGGCCGTCCCACATCAAGAAGGAAAAATTATTTGTTGTTTATGTTTTATGGCGTTGGATCCAAAGTGGCCCTTCCACAAACAGGAGACTAACATTATTACAGTAGTACCTCTGGTTGCGAACGGGATCCGTTCCCGAGGCCCGTTCGCAACCTGAAAAGCCCACAACCTGAAGCGGCGTATCTGCGTAGGTGCGCGGCGCGATTTGGTGCTTGTGCGCATGCGCAAGGAGCAATTTAGCGCTTCTGCGCATGCGCGAGCGGTGAAACCCAGAAGTAACCCTTTCTGGTACTTCCAGGTCGCCGCAGGACGCAAGCTGAAAAGACGTAACATGAAGCAAACGTAACATGAGGTATGACTGTAATAGTATGATTACTGAATTTATATACCGCCCTATACCCAGAGGTCTCGGACCTCCAGCAGA